CATTTTAAATGTTGAGTTCCACCGGTTAGGAACGTCGGGTTGAAATTTTTTAGGTTTCACCCCTTGATCTTTACAAAAACGTCCCCATGCTTTCATTTCATGGGGACGTTTATGTAAATAATTAACAGCGTCCCTAATTGGCGTGACTGAATCTTTAAAAGCATGATAACCAGCTTGTACACAGAGATTTAAGACATGACATATACAACGAATATGAAAAATCTTCCGCCGCAAATTGGAGTGCAAATATCGGTAAGTTCACGTATAGATGCAGTATTTGCAGTAGCATTATCAAACGAAATGGAAAACACTTTTTTACCTATTTGATATTTATCCAAAATTTTTGAAATTAAACGAGCAATATTAGAAGCAGTGTGTCGTTCATGAAATTCAACATAAGCAATTAAACGTTTTTGTAAACTCCAATTTTCATCTATCCAATGACAAGTAATTCCCAAATAGAAATTATTTTGCCAATAATCAGACCAAATATCAGCACAAATGAATACTCTATGATTTAAAGATTTAAAAGTTTCTTGCAAAATTACTTTTTTTTCCGCCACTATTTTTCGAATATCGCGAGTAAGAGTAGTACGTGGAACCCGATGTGTAGCCGGATTCAAAGCCATTTGAGCAAAATGTTATATAAATCACTATCACCAAAGCTAAATGAAGGAGATGAAGCAGAAACAAATTCAGCTAAATGGCGTCGATGATTTTCATGTGAGTACTGAAATAAAGATGGCGTACCTGTACCAATCATGGCAGATGCAGCGCTACTACTCGGGAGTTGCGTCTGTGCGCTGTCAATTCCCAATTTTGTCAAATGATTCCTTTCTAAGTGTCGTTTCAAAGATCCGTACCCGTCGCCTTTTTTGAAATGGTACTGCTTCTTCTCGTTCGCCGGGCAGTAGTTGCAAATAGCTAAAAAGTGATTCTCACCTCTTGTCGGATTGGCCACCTTTGTGTAATGTTGTTTGAATATGGCAGATGCCGGTCTGCCACGGGTGAAGACAGAGGCCAGGTTCGGGACCTCCGGGTCCGCCTGTTGCTGCTGCGTCGGTTGCTGAACCTCCGGCGGGGACTCTCCAAATATATCATCGAAACGGTCGTGACACGGCTGCTGTTGCTCTTGTTGCTCAGGCTGAATTCAGCCAAAAATGCGCTCGATCGTCGCCTCATCAATGTCATCGGCGACAACGGGAATATCCACATGTATCGATGGACTCGCAAATTCCGGCAATGGAGGTCTCGACGAAGACGGGCCAGTGCCGATATTTCTACGTTTCTGTCCGAAATTCGAACCACGACCACCACGAGAGCTCGACATTTTATAATTTAAAGAATAAAAAATAAATTGGGGAAAATTATATACAATATGATGAAATAAAAATAAATGGGGAGATGTGGTATTTTTTTT